TCCTAGTTACGTTACACCAACAATTTTGTTTATTTATACTCATAGCATTTATATCTCCAGTGCCAAGATTGGACAGGAAAATTATTTGTAGACAGCTTAGTCAAAATTTGCCCATCATTTGTTTATGACACGCGTGGAGGTAATAGAAAAGCTGAAAAGCTATCTCTATAATATTGCACGTTCACAAATCAAGCCATGTCAATAGAAATGGCGCCATTGTACAGTACTGTAGAGAACAGCATATACTGTAGTGTGATTTTGTCACCCTTTTCGGATTTATAAAATAGGAGAGTAAAGTGTAAAGGTAAAACAAAGAAGCGAATCGAAAAATAATCTCGTCAAAGACCTACTACTAAGTGCCATAGGACAACTTAAAATGTCATCCTAGGTCTATCATACAGTAGATTTCACACTTGATGCTAATATACTGTACAGGTTCAGTAGCACGACGGATAATAATGAAATTGGTCAAAGATACCGTAGATGATGGATTTAGTTTTTCATTAGCGATTTATTATACTACTGTAGAGTCAACACTACGCGTTGGTTTGGAATGCAATTTTACCAATAACGAATACTGGAAAAGTCATTACGAGTATCCTGTCGGTTTGCTATAGTATTAACTACCATATTCTTATTGGAATACTTTGAAATTAATAATATCGGGATCAATTACAAAGTGGCGAATGTATTTTGACACCAACGTCAAGGTGACGACTGGATTTGTTAGTCTTAATTTTCGATTTCCAGTTTGGTTTTATATTGAACTATTCAAGAAATTTCTTTATCGATGATTAGTTTTGAGTCAATACGACGACAATATATGGTTTTATGAAGACAAAAGGATGCACTGAATAATGGCTACTATGGCTGAGGATTAGTAAGTGGGAAGAATAAATTGAAATAATCTAATGCGGCTTTACGATGTTCAGTGTCTGTTAACAATAACAATGTTCAGTCAATTTCTAGTGATTCGTTTAGTTTTGCCTTCACTAAAATTTCTCCAATATTCCTATCATCACGAAACAGGATGGTCAGAACTGTTGCATCTTTAAGATCATACAGTATAACGGAAAGAGTAAAGAAGCGATGGTGTTGTACAGTATACAGTTGTTGACATTTTAATTCTCACGGGTATTACTGGATCATGTATACTGTGGACTGTAGAGTAGAATAATTGATGATCTGATTGATAATAAATAATAATATTATAATCAATGAGTATCATTCACTGTTGTGCAGTCAAAATGTTTGTTATCCATTTTACATAGAATTATCAGCTACTTTTTTAATGAATAAATTAATACTGCATTGCAAGGCGTTTTTTCAATTTTCTTGAAATGATTGGAAAGGAAGTCGAAATTTGGTCAAATTGCTGAAGTCTTGATTTACGCACAAACAGATTGCTAGTGTGTTGAAGAGTTTTGTAAGGATGTAAGATCATCTGCACATAATTGTGCTTATGAATTGATCGAATTCATGGTTAATGCCTTGTCGATGTGATGCATTTAAATTAAAATGAGATGGATTGCTTAGATGTATGACAACATCGCCATGACAATGATATTCAGTATGCTTGTAAAGGATTTTTATCTAGTGGTCAATAAACACAGGTTGTTTTTGATTTCTGTCATAATATTTGTCTTGTTGTTGTTGACCGTTTTCCGCCATCATGACTGTACAGTATCCTTATTTCAAAGTCAATGGATTAGTGGCCAGTCGTCACTGGTAGAGAGAAATAGGAGGGTATTTCTTGCATGATACAGTACTATACACTAAGATGGCTAATTCTCAACCCTTGTATTGTGGCGGTATGGAACTTTTCAGTCCCATATTGATTGCAATATTAGTCGATGGACGACATTGCTCCACTGTTGTCTAGCAGTTCAATCGGCCATATTGAGTTGACAAGAGAGTTTATTAATCTGTTGGAGTGATGATGCTACGAAGTTTTAGTGTATCCATTTCAACTTACCACCTCCATTCTTATAACACAAGTAAGGAAATCGCGCGATATTACCAATGCCTACAGCATAGCCTACACAAGAAAGGAAAAATTCAATCCAAGAAGACCATTCGGTTCTTTGTTCTGGCTCATTTTTGACATCTTGTAAGTGATGATCGTCATCATCAATCTTCTGCATTGATTTTTCTGTATCATGATCCAAAGCCATACTAGCAATTAATTCTTTCTACCAATGGATGAGACGATCAACAGCAACTAAAAGCCAAGAAATAGATTATTCGATTAATTTGAACTCTTGAAGCCTACCATGGAGACGGAGGCATCAGCGTGGAAATGGGACTTGAATGTGACGTCAAAGGAGCCAACGATCCACGGTAGAATCGTGCTGTCACTTGACACGACCGCACCCGACTCGAGAGCGACGTGTTTTCCTACCTGTAGCAATTTATGATGACAATCAAGATGGACGATAGGATGGCGCGGCCAGATGATACAGTAAGGGGGAGTGGGGCAAAATAGCAACATGTAAAACAACAGCCGTCGATGCTTGATGATGGTGGTATCCCGATGAGATACATTATTACGTATGCAATAGTCCAGTTATCGATAGTAAAAGTAGAGATTACTGCTGTACTGTACTTGATTGGATATACTGTCATTCGTTTTTATACATCACCGTGTTATTTTGAATGCAGTTGAAATAATCAATTCATTCATGCCGTTGTACAATGTACAGTGCGCCATTGTACAATGTACAGTATATTGTACACGATATGTACAGTATTGTCCTTCTCCATATTGTTCTGTATTGCTCGCTCACCCGCCCAGTTTTGCCCACTTGCAACGCAATTGTGTATGTCGATTCTGTGCACAATCCGTTCCGACGTCATTCTTTTATCTCCATTGCATACGTCAATTTAATAATCCATAGCGACCATGTACATCTGTGGTAGGAGTGAGTGCAGAGGCGAGGGTCCTTCATTTAGCCTTTTCTGACCACCCGATAACCGACAATGTTCAACTATTTTCTACTGACAGCACAGTCGATGATCGCCGCAAAAGACCCTGAGACCGTGGTCAACTGGTGAACAAACTCAGCGAAAATGACATCGGTCCGTATCCAACTGCAACCACTACAGCACAGACGGACGGACTACTCCATCTACCACAACTTGGACAAGATGTCAACAGCTACAGTACAAAAGTCTCCATCTTGTCGTCCAGTCGTGGCCCGGCCCCTCCCTAGTCAAGTTGAATGTGGTGATGTTGGTAATACAGTAGTTTACTTATGGATGCGTGAGCAATTCCACAAGGTACTATTAGTAATTTAGTAATGCATGATGGGGTGCATTTCCATCGCAATGAAAAGGCCATGTTTACTGAAGGCGATTTCGCTGATCCGCCACAAACAATAATCCCCAAAATGCAGTTCCTCCTCCATTCAAAGAATGGTTGCCATAGTGCAGTACAGTTACGCCAGAATGTCAATATTGATACAGTATACTGTAAAATACGTACAGTACAGTACAGTACAATAGTATGTAGCGCTGTCACGAACTCCTTTCTTCTGTAATGTCCACTACTGTCTCTCGCCTTCTTAATACTGTACTGTATTGCAGCTGGAGGCTGAGAGTGGCATGGAGAACTCCCAAGTCCGATAGGACATAGAATCTATTTCATATTATATTATGTATAAATAAATAAATTGACATTCAGCATTATTGTACTACACTAGACCTGGGAAAGGTTGGATTCGCGTCTCTTTTTTTCCTGAATGAATTCCAATTCTTGAACAAATTGGTTGGCTATTTCAGTAACATGGCAATGCTGCAAATTCTTCCCACCAGAGGGAACCAATGCAACAAGTTTCCTCTTCTTTTTCTCATCACATTACTTTTGTATACCTGTCAGGCAGCAACGGAACAGGTTGAACTACAACCTGGTGCGGTGACTTCGAAATATACCACATCATGTAATCAGTATAAGTATTTCAAAATCAAAGTCAGCAATCCTTGCGTCAATGTGCGAATTTTGGTGAGTTTGTATGGAGTGGCATAGATGCGCTCGCTATCAAATGCTAGTCCTGACTTATTGCAGGCCATTTTAGGATAGCAGCAAGTTGGAATGCATGATAGTATAGCACATTCTGTATTCAAGATTGATGGAGTCAACGAAAATACACATACCGTACTCGAGTTTGTACAGTATCAGTGAAATTCACGAAATAAACGTTTCAGCAATACTTTTCAAACAAAAATGAGATAGGACGAATCCTAGCCAACATTCTGATCAAGGATGACACATGCATTGTGGTAGTCTGTTGCGCTAATCCATGGTCGACTAGGTGTACCCATAACTTATAATTAGTAGTCCATGCCTCCTCTAGCTCGTACCGGTTATGTTTATCATAGAATATCAGTTGGCGAACACATCTTTAATTTATGCAATGATGGCCAGACCATACTATTGTCTTAGTCATCACGATTGCACTGAATTTTGGAAAGTAAATTTTGACGTAGTGGTTCTGTTGTAAATTCCAACTTGCAACACATACATTTACTGACATGCAATTCATGTAACATAACGTTGAATGTACTTGATCCAATATTTCTTTCATTAGATGAACGAATATTTTAACATATACGCGTGATGTAGTGTGTTACATGCACCATACGTACAGTTCCACGATGAACGGTACAGTACATTCTGTAGTCCATTGTTGAAATATCATTTTGCAAAGTCACTGATATTCAAGAATTGCATAGAAATGGATTATTTCTGCATTTGCCTGACTCTAAAGCTAACAAATATCTATAGGTATAATTAATAAACGGTGCTGATGTTTTGCCAATGTCATACTGTACACTGATAGTCAGTAACAGCAAAGGGCTGTACCAGTGGACTGCATTAATATTTAGTCCAATGCACCTCACTGGGCTGTACTCTACCATACTGTATAGCAGCTCGCTAAATCATGCATTGTGCAGTACAACTGCTACACTCAGTCTACACTTTTACCAATCACCTTGTTGCCATCTTTAATATTAACAATAATATTGATTATCTTCGTCAACATTATCTCAAATGTAGGTTTATGCTCTGGGGGGAGAACCTAACCTATACGTCAGCAAAGATCCTGATCAGTACCCTACCGTTCAAAGTCTTGCCTGGTCTTCCTATAACTGGGGAACAGAAAATATAACCATACTGGCATCGGATCCCAATTTTTCAACTGGAATGCTGTACATTGGCGTTCATGCTTACTGTGGCCAAGATGTAGCGACATTATTTACCCCTGCAACATATCAAGTCTCTGTACAGTTTAATACTCCATCAACGTCAGAATACTTACCATTAAATCAGTTATATTCGTCTATCCTACAAGCTAACAAGTATATGTATTACAAATTTTGCATTCCTGATGACTGTACAAATGTGAATGTGAAATTACAAAATTGCATCAATGCTACCACTTGTCCAAATACATACGCTTGGCCTGAAATGCTAATATCCAATCTTGTCAGAACACCCACATTACAAGATAGGACTTGGAAATTAGCTGAAGTCAGTCGAAGGAATATAGCGTTAAATCATCAGCAACCTAACGTTAGAGCTGGCCATTATTATGTTGGTATTTATGGTTGGTGTACTCCAAATAAGTTTTGCTCTGATAAATCTACATGTGGTCCTTGTGATAACTACAATAATGGAATTCAGTTCAACCTTCAAGTATTGACGACTAAGATACCTCAGAATCAATGCAAACCAAACAACATACCTAGTTGCACTAACCATGCTTCAACGCTTACATTACCATTGCTTTTAGGTCTATTTCTTGCTTCATGCTTAGTATCTTTGTTAGTGTAATTTCTTGCTAGTTTATAGTATTTTTTGCTATTACAGTATCTAGTCCATTACATTACCCTTAAATCGATTTCGGTTCATATAAATTACCATCGGTGCTAATAGTAACACTCTGTACTGTACTCCTTTGATACAGTTAGGTTAATAAAATATCAACACTTTGTGCAAAATTTGCTATGGATTGATAGAGTTAATTATCATTGATCGCGCTATACCATGGACTAGTTACTAGAAGTACTATCTAGCGGTCCTTGGTTATACAAATACCAAAGCATGGTATAACTGCTTCCAATCAAGATATCGAACTTACAAGTACTAGCTTGCCTGATACACTTTGCCTTGCGGATTGTTACTTAGTGTTCACTGTACGTAAGCCTACCATACAGTTGAACCACTTTCATATTACGCAACGAAGGCATTGATTAATGCGTTGGATCTACTCATTGAGATAATGTCAAATGGCTTGCTCGATTCATGTATTGCGTAACAAAAACTAAAATTATTAGATGAATGACGACATCTATTGAATAGTTACCAGTTTAATCTACGATAAATATGAGCTCAAGTTATACCATATTGCGGCTGTGCAAAGAGCAAAATAAAACGTACTCGTATACTAGGATTTGTTTTTTCCAAACAACATACTAGTTTGCACAATAATACCGAGGAAGTATCAGCGAGCAACTGCCAGTGATCTGCATTGATAAAATACAAACTGAAAGCATCTATCGAATTCTGTACTCCGAATTAGTGCATGCGTAATCTGTATTTCAGAGTTTCAAACGCTAAATAATATATTTACCATTATTATTTTCTGTACAGGTTTTATCATTTGTATATAGATTAAATTATTAATATAGTTAAAGCTGATAGAATAATTCAGAAAGTAGATTAATCCCTCAACTTTGGTAACTCAATAATTAAAAGAAAATAGATATCAATTTATTTCTGTGCATATAAATATATATATACGCATATCAATACATTCAATAATGATAACACTAAGAAGATATTATCGATTATTATTAAATTATTCGTATATTATTATCAAAGTAATTATAATTATATCATCATCATATTTGTACGGTCAAATTGATGGAGGTACACCAACGGTGTAAAGTTCATTGTCTAGAAATATCGGAAGAAAACTATCCACCTAGAATCAAAACAGCACAAAAAATCTTCCCAGTATTTAACTACATAATAATCTGTGGTTCAGGAACAGATGATGAAATCGATTTATGAGGTAAAACCCGAGCGCCATTCAAATAAATTTCATCACTGACTTGCACGTCTTCTCCAAGTACCGTAACACCGTCAATACGAGCCTAGAAATAATTGTCCATATTAAAAGGGTGATAGCATTCGAAATTTCGTATATCCATGTAGCAAAATTGATGACGCTGATTATCAAGATTATTTCTTACCCATCTACCAATAGCACATTTCCATCCAACTATGCAAGAGTTAAGCCACGAATGAGACTGTATTCGTGATCCAGCTAGGATGGTACACCGAGAAAGTCGGACACCTGCAATATAAAAGCAATCTTATAAATATATATAAATATATATTTAAGTATCATAACAAGTTAATAAAGCAGCATGCTAGCGTTAGTATTTGAGGAAACAACCATAGAACACGATGCTAATGTACAATTGTATAAAACGTACAACGCCCCCGGTTTACATGTAGCTTAAGATTATATAGTCAAAACACAAAGGATTAGCTATAAAATATATACCATCTCCTATAACAACATCGGGTCCTATAACAACATTTGGTCCAATGCGGCAGTTCTTACCAATCTTAGCGGATGAATCCTAAAAAACGACGAAGATAACGATACTTAAGGTTTACAAATCTCCAATTCAAAATCAACGAGGTCTGGATTATGTACTATCAGCGTACAACTAAAACGCCACCAGAAATCTCTGATCCTTGATATAAGGAACTATGATTCTGCTGCTTTAGATGATTAAGATATAAGCACATTCCAATTAAATAATCTTTAGGTTGGCCTATATCCATCCAGAATCCTAGTCAAGATGCGAAACAGCTTAGATGTAAATAAAAAATCATCACAAGTAATTTTCTTTACTTATTAATAGCAGTAATAACTGATACCTTCTAATTCAGTACAGAATAGTTCTCCGTTTTGAGACATTACTGGAAATACTTCTTTTTCAATTGATGTAGGTTTAAGCTGTAAATAACATATATAATCATTGCCGAGTAATATTATGACGATATCTGGGTTGCTTCGAACACACAAACAATAGGTATTAATGAAAAAACTACATAGTCCGCTATCCGTAGACGGGTGTAATTACTGTACATACGGGAATCCTATCCAAAATGGCTGGATTAAAAATGTACATGCCAGCGTTGATCTTATTGGATACAAAAACCTTCGGCTTCTCCACAAATCTTTGAATTTTACCAGTTGAGGATTCATACACCACGACACCGTACTTGGAAGGTTCTTCAACTTTAGTTACCTACCATAAAAATATTGTTGTAAAATTGATCAAAATGATTAAAGTTTCCGCAAGATCGTCAAAGATTAGCATCTTCATCAAAGTCATAGAATAACAATTAAGAATGCTACTTACTACAATAGTTCCTTCCTTTCCATGATTACGATGAAATTTAAGCATTTGCCCAAAAGGATATTGGCAAATAACATCACTATTTAAGACAAAGAACGGGTCTGAATCGACACAAAGATGTTTGCGAGCTAGCGCCAACGGACCGGCTATGTGTTCGTGGAAGTAAAAGAAGATTAAAATTATTACCATTATTTCGTCAATATAGTATACGGTAGTAATTGTGCTGATAGGTATAGTGTCCAAGTCATGTATCAAATAGTGCGTACCGGTTCCAAGAGGCTCTTCTTCAAGAGAGGTTGTGATTGTAATTCCAAGCTACAACATAATTTAAAATGAATACAATAATGACTTAGAAAAATTGGTCAATATTTTTCCTGCAATTACGATGACCTTTACTGATGAGTGAATCCAAACAAAATGCGGTACATAAAATGTATAATTGACACAAACTGTATCAGGATAGATTCCAGTTATTTCTTTTGCATGTACAACTATCAGTTAGCATAATAAATAGTTCAATGGATAGATTTATTCCATTTCGGATTGGTATACGTATATCAGAAGTTGTTCTTATCCTTAGCTGGTATATTTTATACGGTATAGAGTACTTGCGTTAGAAGTGTGATCAATAATTCGCTTAGGGTGGCAAGATTGGATTGTGCAGTTTGCTATGGCTTTAAGATGTTATTGTAGCAAACTTGACTATGATCAAACAACTAGTGCATAGCAATATACGGGTATACTGTAGGTATACTTCATAATTGAACAATAATCCCATATAGAGCTTATAACAGTAATGTATGCTTGCTTATTCAGGGCGCTTAATAATTGATTGCTGTACTGGCATGGACGCGTAAGTGTATCCAGAGACGTTTGGATTTGTGAGCTCATCCTCACCGATTGTCTTCTACAGTATGACATTTAACCGATTGATTCGCCACTAGCAGTCTTGAAGTCGAATCCTATCACAGTATCGTGCATGAATAATGGTAACGATAAAAGGACTTTCTTCATGTTAACTAACTGAGAATAGTACTTGTCAATATACTATTGTAGCGTAATTGAATAAAATAAAATGTTCTTTAGCCCTCGTTATCTTGCAGTCTCTAATATCGGATCACCATCGACCCAAATCGTTACTGATCGATCGAGACTGACGTCAATTAGATGATATAAAATAATAATGCTGTATAGAGTGCATGTAGAGTAGACCAATTTGAATGTTAAAGTTAAATTAAAATACCGGCACCACTAAGGCTCTAATGAGTCACGATTGGATATCATACAACTCTATCGTCATTTTGCTGTTAAGGAAAGAATCATTAGGATGGCTTTACTGTAGCTATGACAGTGGCAATCGACTTTGACATACGTACCTTGCTTTCTAGGCTCGCTAACTCTTGAACTAGCAATTCAGCACGATAACTGACCGCTAATATAATATGTTGGACACCCACCTAAATGGATAGAATGAATGAAAATCAATTTTCCAATTGCAATCTACTTGTAGTACTGTCAATTCTTGACGTCAACTGCTGTAGCTGGCAAAATCAATTTTCTCCTTTACAGTTAGTGTATAATGTTAGTTAGTACAACGAATTGATGATAGACGAATATCCAATAAACTTGGTCACCTCAACTAAAGCCTCAATCTGATGGAAGAGAATTGGTTTGTTACAAAATTGGACTAAAGGTTTGGGAACGGATAATGTCAACGGTCTGAGTCGTGTGCCATAGCCGCCAACCAAAATTAAGGCTTTCATATCGAATAGTAAACTATTGGATGTAGAATGGACTTGAAGAGAAGATCGCAAAGAGCAGAAGAACCTCTCCCTCAACAAGATCAACAAGGATTGAATTTCAACTTAAGCAGCGTGATGGAAGTAACGTACGACGCGACCATCTACAGTCCAATACTGTACAGTACTGTAACGGTAACAATAGGTGCGGTCACATGCGATCGAATCATTCACTCTTGCAAACGTAACAGTAGGTGCGGTCACATGCGATCGAATCACTCACTCCAGCGAACGTTGGTGTTCGTCTTACTGGCAAAAAAAGGACACGCCTTATTTCGGTCTTGTACAGTACTTTCTGTATAGTGTCGTCTGCAGACCCTTGTTTAGAGACTCTACTGGAGTCTATGGTCGTCATAGCAGAGACTTTGCTTTTACAAATCCCTGGTCACAGTATGGTGTCGATTTGGATGTCGTCACTCATAAAACAGCCAACAACATATTGTATGAACGTACACTTGCCCATAGTACAGACTCTTCCTTTTGGAACTCAGACTCGATCTGTAGCGCTCGCTTTAGTCGTACTGTACAGTACAGAACAGATGTGAAGTACTGTACAGTAAAAGAAGAAGAAGTGAGAATACAGTGTATAGTACTGTACACTGTAGGCTACAACAGGTGAAAACGCTTGGGTATTTGTGGTACGTAAGGTAGAGGAGGTGAGACGCTTCGTTGTTTCTAGTACGTAAGGTAGAGGAGGTGAGACGCTTGGGTGTACAGTACTGAACAGATGTGAAGTACAGTACAGTAAAAGAAGAAGAAGCGAGAATAGTACTGTACTGTACAGTACAGTACGTCCCCTACAGTGTACAGTACTGTACACTGTAGGCTACAGCAGGTGAAAACGCTTGGGTATTTGTGGTACGTAAGGTAGAGGAGGTGAGACGCTTCGTTGTTTCTGGTACGTAAGGTAGAGGAGGTGAGACGTTTGGGTGTTTCTGGTACGTACGGTACAGCAGTTGAAACGCTTGAATGTTTCTGGTACGTACGGTAGAGGAGGTGAAACGCTTAGAAGTACGTACGGTACAGGAAGTGAAAACGCTTGGGTATTTCTGGTAGGTACTTAAACTGACCTACAAATACACTACTTTGTATCAGCATGCAAAAATTACTTTCCAATGGCCCCTGACGGCAACACAAGTACTTTCAGCAAAACATAGATTGAGACTGGGTCTACACGCTTGTCCATCTGCTTTTTCTCTAACTTCTAGGAGACGGAAGGGAATCCCTGCGGGACGTAAAATTCAGGGCAGTCTACACTAGACCCTTCTCCAAAGGGTAACCAAAGGGTCTAGTGTCTACAGTACACCAAAGCGTCACTCAGCAATACAGTGTCTGCAGTACGGTAGGAGTAAAAAGTCCTAAAATGCTCCCCTCCCGTCCCGGTATTTGACTAGTCTATGACATCATCAACCAGTGATGGACGGAGACTGGGACACGCTTATTGATCAAAACTGGAGTGTCTCTCTATCGGGTTTATCCTTCCATCACTGCCAGTAACCAGTGTGGTGGCAGAGTGTCTAAAGCATACAGATGCAATTTGTACCGTTTAAAGCAGCATAATCAGCATTTCACCTTTATTAGGGTCTGTACACTACATTACCGGTAGATGATCAGCGCTATCCATAGAAATAACCATTAGGTTTCTTGAAACGATATCAAACTATAAATCTACTAAAGAGTTCATAACAACGTGGATGGAAGCAATTTCGATCTAAAAAATGGAAAAAGTACAGTATCAGTCTGAACTTCCTTGAAACAAATGAATTACTGTAATTCATTCATTAGAATCAATCGTTGAGGAACGCAAGAATAACCTATTGTAGGGCTACAATTTCAATCCGTAAATTTTCTTACGTTAACAAGTATTGTTAGATAAAGATGTATTCATTTTTAGATAGTTTTGTGGAAAGATAATTTATTACATCTTACATAAAGAAGTAAACCTTTCCAATTCGCTTTGAAATGAATTGAATCTATGCATGTTAAACTTCAATCGATACTGTAAATATAGAAGTTGATAGTAAACACGTTATGCAATCTCTTCAACACTGATGATATTTTAATAAATAATGAATTCATGATTTATGCATATGTCAACAAATTATATTGAATTTTTCCATAATGACATTCTTAACTTGATAGATACTGCTGCAGACAGATATATGCCATGCAACATACACACTGGTACAACTTGCAAAATATTATCCGTTAACTTGATAATATCGAGCCCTAACAGTAGATGACTAAAAGAGTCTAGAAGCGAAATGTGCCAATTCTCCTAAATCATACCTAAACACATCATTTCATAAGATCAATTTGCCTTTCAAATTAAACCGAAATCTATCTTGTTACATTATACTTAGTGATATATTCACGATGACTTTACATAGTCTATCATACGATATTGAAATATCTTCAACAATTTTAACAATTAATTAGCAGTAATAAGAAATAAAACATTTTTACCTTTTTACTCTTCTATTGGATTGATATCAATTTCATAGACGCTAAGGTATCACAATTCAACTAGAATAAAGTGATGAATTGATTGAAATGCCTCATTACAGACATAATAACCCTTTCCGATACAACAGATAATTTCATCTACAACTACGCCAATATGGAAATGATCGGAAAAAAAAGATCGACATTCAGTATTTAAAACGATAATATACGTATTGATTAATAGGTTATAAACTAGATTGTCAACGGTGATATACGCATTGCTTAATAGGTTAAAAACTAGATTATCAATGCTAATATACGTATTACTTGATAGGTTAAAAACTAGATTTTCAACGGTAATATACGTATTACTAAATAGATTAAAAACTAGATTATTTAACCAGTTATGGGATTCTTTCTGATCGAGTCTTTAGGTAAAATTTAAAATGATAAATGCTATTCGTAATGGATGAGGTTATTCTAGTTTATTATTATTTGATATTATATTGTACTATCTTCTTGCATGCCTTTGGCCATAATTACACGCGCATTGTTTAATGAACTTGATCCTTGTATAAGGAAATCGCTTGTAACCATACTTCTGCAATGTGGAGTTGATGAATAAGTTTGCGATGTTAACCCACTACGCGTAGGGTTCCTACCATAGTTATCATAAATTAAATGAAAACGTGACGCTAATGGGCGACAGAATAAAAAACATATCTGATGTCGTATATCACGCGTAAAAATTGCATAAATTAATGGATTGATAGCAGCATTGGCGAAAGAGAGGTAAACTGATGCCGTATATAATACAGTAGACATCAGTCTAGGGCTAAATAATAATACAAGCCCATTGATAAAAAATGGCAACCAGCATATTAAAAAGAATCCAACGATCGTTGCCAAGACTGCAATTATTCGAATATCTTTAGCATCAATACGCGCTCTAGTTGATGCTTCAATACTATACGCTGAGGATTCATATTTAACACGTTTAGCATGTTTAGAAGCGATGACAAAAATGCGAGCATAAATCATGCTCATAGCAAGGCATGGCACGAAGAAATTTACTACCATAAGGCAAACTAGGTACGGTCGTTCGAAGCTAGGCGCGGCTGTCCATTGAACAAAGCAAGAACCAGGTCGAGGATCATAGCCGATATCACGCCAGACAAACATAGGCAATAGAGCAATTACAAGCGGTTCGAGCCAAACAAAAAGCAAGAGGACAAGCACAATTTTCTTACTCATAATTTGTCTGGCCTGATACAATAATGGTGATGTGATGGAAAAATAGCGATCAATACTAATGCTACAAACATTTAATATAGATACAGACATCAAAAAAATGGTAATAGGATAACTCAAGTTACAGTAGACAGGACCAAATGGCCAATAGCCTAGTAACATATTAACCACTAATGGAGGTATTTGCAATGATACACGAATGAGATCAGCGATACATTGATTGAAGACAAAGAGATGAGTGATATTTCGCAGATGCTTCCGACACAATATAGTACCAGCAACAATTAAATTGGCTGCAAAACTAACTACAAAGATGGATAAAGTTATACAAACGAAAGTTAACGCTTGCGGTGTTATCGAACGTGATTGAGGACCTTCTTTTACAATGGTAGAATTACTACTGCGATAATTCCATGACATGATGCTGATGCTTAATGCTAGAGAAGGTATAATTTCCAATCTATAAAATGATACGATGATAAATTTGCTGTCCGTTGCTTTCTCTTTTACCAATTCCAAAATGCCACTTATAAGAACTGTAATTTCGTTAATTTAATCTCCAATCCGTATTGGGTATTCTTTTTTAGAGTCGACTATTACATTAGCTGCCTTCAAAAAGATATAGTCAAACGATTTCAAACAGCTTATCAAATTTTATACCAGCAAATAAGAATTTTATAACATCGGTTCAGTCTTTTATAGATAGATTGATGCCCAAGGCTGTATTTAACGTTCAGAATAACAAGTAACAACATCGAAGTATGACGATAAAAAAAGTATGGATCATTGTTTATTCAATGGCTACCGGTCATGCATGGACTTTGGTAAAAATTGTTGATGTAAAAATTCTCCTTCTAAAAGGTAAAAAATTGGATAAAATATAGCTATTTTATTTTGAAAGGGAAGAGAAAATTATAAATTGAAATAATTATCATTGATTCTATTCATATTTGATTGCTTTTTTATTGATTGTTAACGCCTACTAAACATTAAACCTGGATAATAGTAAATATCGACTGATTGTCTTGTAATAACTTGCGTGTGGTTTTACTGGAATGAAAGCATAGACCAGATATTTATTTCGCTGAATTGTTGTAATTGAGTATTTGTCAAAATTTTGATTGAATTATTATTTACTATGATACTCTATCATTCATTAACTGAAAAGATTTTACCCTATTCATACGCTATTTTCTTTCGCTATATAAATATCCTCATTCATGATTATTAGGATTTAATCAAATCACCTTCTACAAGTTACAATGAAAGGAAAGGGAGTTCTGATCAAGGAATTTCGTTCATTATCGTTTTCTACTCCTATCTTTAAGATCCAAACTGCTAATTTTACCCTTCTCCAGCTCGCATAAAAATTGTCATTGTCATTAAAACCTATGTAATATTGTCTATAAATTGTAACCAAATATTGTAATATAGATTTATTTCTGCTTTCATTCATTGATGCCTTGAAAGTTAATTACTTAATCCAAAATATAGGTAAGTGCACGAAATCTAAAGATAATTCTTGCAAATTTACTGTCTACGCTTTTAATTATTATCGAAAACAATTGATCAAATCTGTTATGAAAGTAAATAGAAGAAAACATAAAATAGATAACGATTCTACTGATCCAGTAGTTTAAGAATCTAGCTAATTGGATGCTGTGAAGTAATAAATAAAAATTCTAAGATAATCTTAAATAATAAAGCGTATTTCGTCCTGAGGCTTAATAAGCTGGCAGATTATCAAAAAATATTGAGATTGACGTCGATCTAGGATTCTACTATTGTAAAGGAATGATATTGCCCCAGGAATGAGATAAACATGATCCGATCATCAAAATCAGATAGAAAATTAATCCATTAAGATAGTAAAGAGTTAGTATCGTTATCTATTATGTTGCTATCTGAAGTCTACGTATGCTGTAAGTAAGAAATACAAATAGTTTGACAATGAAACTATTCAATTTTCAGTCAGTTCATTCTGACAAACAAGTTGTTAATTGACTGAACTATCACATATACGAGAAAATATCAAAATAGCTTTTACTACTAAACTAAGCAGAGTATACGTCAATAATTTGTAATTTTTTTATTTTACTTATTACCTCATAAACGATACGACGGAATACGAGTATTCGTCGTATTCGATTTCAATTTTTTTCACACTGCTATTACTCAGTAGCCAATCATAGTTGTGATAAAGAACATGTCTAGAAATCACATTCAATGTTATTGGCTAAAATAGCTGTCAAATTTTACAATGTAACATACAAGAGTTATTCCATCAAATCAACAGTTATCTGTCTATTTTACCTCAGATTACAATTCTAAAATAACAAAAATTCTTTTTTTGTTATGGTGACGCTGTTGATGCTATTGATAATTCTGAGAACAAATACTGCATCAGTCGCAGGTGCTTGCATTTAATCTTCCATTGAACTACAGTATATTATTATATTGCAAGAGAATTCCATCGTCCTGCCAAAGGCCTACATTGTCGAATGATTGTTCATCATGAAGGCATAATCCTCAAAAAAGGTCCAATCTGTGACATCTAAGATCCTAACGTTATACTCTGTATTGATGTTTCACCTGAGATTTCATGTTGGTCATATGAAAAAATGTTATTAAATTCTGTTATTTCTATTTAAAACTATAGCAGCATTTCTTATTTTAGTAAATGCTTTCAGCATTCTGTTACCACCTATTACTAAATTATTTCATGCTTGTAGACAAACATAAGAAATTTCTAAAAGATTACAATTTCTATTTTCTATTGTTCATCTTAATATTCGCCATTGCATTGATATCTTTTATTATTCCGAATTGATAACAATACAATTTATTGCTATTACATTGTTATCGACATTGATTTACTAATTCTATCGCTGGTAGCATTAAAGACAGCTTTATCATGCCATCTTCACTATATCAGTAATTCAGTTGATTTGTAGTATATTTTTCGACTATAAATTTGTAACAGTAAATACATTAGGCAAAATCCCATATTTATCAAATATGGGATGAAGGAGAAAAAATAATGAATCTACTGTAACATCATTTATGTGAACTAGTTGCATGTCTGATTATTGTAGCTTTATCGTAGTTCATGGTTAGTATTACTACTTGTTATCCATATTATGATAAATGATTTTATCCATAAATTAGTGACAATCAATAAATTGCACACTTTTGGCGTGTATAATTTCAAACGGCAATTTACACTTATAATGATGTGCAGTCTACCCCTGATATTAAAGTGGCCTATTAACTTAATTTAAATTAAGCGCTAGCGCAGTATGAGCATGTACATAATGTACAGTACAACAGCCGATATGAAACTCTTTATTTTATAAACTCGGCAGTCCAGAGTTGTGATTAATGGAGTCAATTTATGGTAAAACCTACGTACAAAAATTTACATAAACTAAAGGCTATACTCAAGACAAATATCCTTTTACCATTTGATAAATATTCAGGTTAAATCTCTCAACATCTATTGTTTTGGTCGATTTATATTTATATAGTTATGAGTATATTTGTTTAAGTGATCAATGTTTATTTTCAGTAATTCTTCTAAATTTCAGAGGGCGCTCTGTAGGGCGCTAGTATAACAGTATCCTCACGATACGATATTATTCTTTTTCAATTCGATAATACTTCAATGTCGAATATGTTTGGAATAAACTAGTTATATCTTTATTGTAGTAGGAAACTGATTCTCAAACATTCAATTTGATCTGCACAAGTAGAGTAATATAGTTCAAGTTTGCTTTTGCTCTAAATTTATAAGAAAAATTGTAGGGTAATTTATTCCTGTATGATTTTTTTTTCCATGCCCTCACTACTAATTTTCCAGTCAAGACTAATCCATCGACTTTTTCCATTCATTATGGCAAAGCTAGAAATAATAAATTAAGCTACGACAATAAATTTAATCACTGCTATCTCACGTATTCCTATTAGCACCCGCTATTAATGAGGAAATAATATTTTTAAGAATAACAATTTCAATAAAAACGATAGCTAGAGTTTTTTGATCAACAATAATTGGAATTATTATGCTCGTTATTATGCTATCAGTGAAGAAAGGATTACCGAAATGGAGAAATCCTAGCAAAATTACAATAGATTTGAAAGTCAATTTGAAATTTTCGCTATTCTAAAAATTGGCCCATTATAGTACTGTATATGTATATTACCATTTGCTGTTAGGCACCATATTAACCACTACCATAATTGACTTCAAAATCGACTTCAGTATCATCACTAGATTTGAAAGTCAATTTGAAATTTTCTCTATTCTAAAAATTGACCCATTATAGTACTGCATATGCATGTTACTATTTGCTGCTAGGCGCCATATTAACCACTACCATAATTGACTTCAAAATCGACTTTAGTGTCATCATCATTAGATTTGAAAGTCAATTTGAAATTTTCTCTATTCTAAAAATTGACCCATTATAGTACTGCATATGCATATTACTATTTGCTGTTAGGCGCCATATTAACCACTACCATAATTGACTTCAAAATCGACTTTAGTGTCATCATTAGATTTGAAAGTCAATTTGAAATTTTCTCTATTCTAAAAATTGACCTATTATAGTACTACATATGCATATTACTTTTTGTTGTTAGGCGCCATATTAACCACTACCATAATTGACTTCAAAATCGACTTCCGTGTCATCATTGTAGTTGACATGCATACGGCTGAAGCTCGTACGTTACACTTTTCCAAGTAGAATGTATCATCCTTGCCTTGTAGTCAGCGCATGTTGATCGATTTTTATACTACCCCAAAGGTTGTTGACTGTCATCACGTGGAAGAAAGCTTCAGACGTCAGCAGCTGAACATCACGTATCGCCCCTTCAATACCCAAATGTAGACGTAAATACAAATGAGAGACTATTTGTCTCCTCTTCGAAATCATGGAGAAAAGCAATTAAAATCTCTATATAGCATAGCTCTACCCCTGAAAGCCATGGCTTTTTCTATCAATGCAACTATGATAGCAGTATAATCTAGATGACAATAAATATTGTTATTAGTAGTCAAAGAAAAAAAGTGATTATTCTTAATAGTCAATACCTCGAGGTGGCGGTTAGCTCGTCCATTCATAAATACCAAAGCATTTGGACAGAAAAAAATTGCTCATCGGATTCATTGTACTGCACTATGCTGTACTATAGAATCTTTATATAGCTAATTATGACAAGATGTTGGATTTAAAGTAATGAAAGCTATCCCATAGGAGTATTATATAAAATAATAATATCGTTTATTTTTAATTTTGGAAGAGATTTCTCCAATGCTCGAAATAGAAAGACACAAG